AAACTTGATACGATAAATGGATACTCTGCAGTGGTAACCAATCTTTTTTCGGACAAGGACCGGTTCATGGAAGTGCAGATAAAATGCAGTTTGGGGGTTTAGGGGTGCCAATGTATATTAGTAAATTGATCAAATGTGTGTTTGTACAAGTGTCTATTCAAGTACTAGTAGGACTTTTAGAAGTGTCGCCCATATAAACTCCAACTCGCAGCATTCAAGTAATAGCGACCATAGTGCTATTAGACATTCACATTCAGGCACTGCTGCTGTTGTTTCACTGTCAGCTGCGATTTTAAATTGTCGTCGACAATTCAAGGAGACGAGCAAATCCAATGCTAATGCTATAAACAAAACAATGTGTGCAGACTTTTATACACACACTGATGACATTCACAACATCATTTAGCATCGTTGCATCAACTGCGCTTTTCCTCTTTAGAAGTGAGCAATAGCCCAACCTTGGGGGCCAAGGCTTGAACCAAGTTTCAATCCACGACCAAAGAAAAGCGAGGCTGCCCAGCATTAAAACCCTGTGCATTTATTTGTTTGGTTGTTTATGTTGGACATTATATAATAGAAGACATAGCCAGCCAGCACAATATTTACATGAGAAAAATGTAATGGCACACCACAAAACAAAAATGTCATTAAAAAAAATTGAAATTGAAAAATCTTGTCTCAATTTGGTGTTCTTGAAATCTGGGCCTGTTCCATTAAATCCCAACATATTATTCCATTGTATGAACAGAATTGGAGATGCACAGGTTCATTGTACCTTCTGCCATCTAGCGAAAGAGCATTTAATTGTTCTGCCTGTCACAACACATCGCTGGCATAGATAGACGAACAAATACACATTTCGGCCCGTCTGAGCTAAATTGGCTGTTTAACGTGACACGCTTGATGATCTTTAATGCACAGTGGTCCGGGATACACTGGGGTCGTCTGCTGTGAATTTGTAGTACTTTTTAACATTTTTGCTTGGAGAAGGGTAAAATATTAGGAACAGCGGGTCTCAATATAGCTGCAGTCGCCCAGCACCATAACCTCAAAGTAATAATCATAATAATATTAATAAAAAGGGGGGCATTACTATTATTTGTCTGTCCATCCATTCACTTCCTCCTGACAGCACACAAAGTGCAGAATGCTGCGCACGACATGGAAGCTGTCAGCTAGAACATATAATCGGCTTTAAAATAAATATGCCAACCCCTTAAAAGATGCACGTATAGATGCTTTACGTCATTTCGTCGCTCCTGCAGACGCTTCCTTCCTCTCTCGTGCACAAACTCTTGACAGCGAAAAGGCTACCACGTGTTTGTTTTTTTAGAATATATATATATATATATATATATATATATATATACACTGTATACGACAACACGGATACATGAAGAGAGCAAATCAGCGCGCTTACCTTGCTTTCACTGTTTCATGTGTGGGAGTGTCCACTGGCGGAGATGCTTTCTTCCCCACCTCCTTGTCTCTGGATGGAGTCCCACTCGCCGCTTGCACTCGTCTTTTCACCGATTCCTCTCTCGCTCTCGCTCTCTCTCTCCCCTACTACCACACGCTCCCCCCCCCCCCCACACACACACACAGGTTCATTTTCTCACACAAATTCGCGGGGGCGAGCAGCTTGCTCTCCCGGGCGCGCGCTGCTGGTGTCCGGACGCTTTTTAAAAAAATGTATTTATTTATTTATTTTTGGAAATGCCAAAGTAGCACAGATGGACAGCAGCTGGGCGAGATTGACAATTGGAGAGAAAAAAAAGTATAAAATATTAAAAAGCCAAACGTCTTTTTAATGCACACTAATGGCTGTAGTGTAGCAGTTAATCCCAAGGGCAACAAAAAAAATTTTGGTCAATGAAATTGAAAAAATGTAGATACATCAGAGGTACCCAGACCAGAAGTGTCAAACATTTTACATTTTGACTCAATTGTTTTTGTTTGTTTTAAATCAGGTCATAAAGCTTTTGTGATCTATGTCCATCTGTTTAACAAGTACTTCCTGGTTAAAGATGACAAAGTGTCAGTACCAATTGTTCCATAGTGGATAAAATAGAACATCTGTTTATTTTATTATTTTAATCTGTTGGTTTGAAATCTGTTTATTTACTGAATATTTTCATCATGTACCACACTTCGAAAAAGCACCTGGGACTCATCCGTTTGCATGAATGTACCTCTATTCAGTTCCTCATAAAACTGAACGGATTCGCATTTGTGAAAATCGGTTGTGCAATATTAGCCTGGGTTGTTAGCGGAAGTTACACTGTGTTCAGTGTGTGCGCATGTTTGAAAATTGCTGGCAAGATCTGAAAGTAGCATCACTTCTTTTCCTTTCCCCACTCGAGTCTCTGACCAAAGACTGAAAGTCAGAAGGTAGTTTTTGAGGGGAAAAAAATTGCCAAGAATGTAGTTGATAGTGACCCTGAAAAACTCATTTTTTGGTAACATCTCAGTCTGAGACAAGGCTGTGACACAAAACTCTTTCGTTGGTCTTTAAATGTGAGCACGTGTATGATGAGTTTTCCTAGGGTCTTTTCCAAATCTTCTCAAAAGTCTTCTGGGGTACAGGTTGCTTTAGCCGTGGCAGCTACATTGCTAGCATGACTTATTCATGATGAATAAGTTGCCAGTTTGATGCTGTAGTTGCAAATTAAAATCCCAAAACAGGCTGTAAGATCCACTTACCTGACGAGCAGAAACGATGATAATCCCACATCGGTGCTGGATCCTTTTGACTGCACGTGACCCCGCCACCTCTGAAATGCGGCCTCTATTTGTAAACGACACAAGCTAAAATGCTGGATGTGTGTGTGTTGTCTCACCCTCCCACCCCCCAAAAAAAAAAAAAAAACGCAAACGTGTGTTGACAGTTCTGCGTTGAACGTCCGCCTCTATGAAACATAAAGTAGCCTCTTAGCACCACATAGTACAAAACAACAAATGGGTCATTTCAGGACATCGCCTTATTAAGTGCGTCACACCCATTTGCAAATGAAACTAATGTCATATCTTCCTTTGGTATCAGTCGCTGGTTGCAAAACTAATTAGGTGCTGATGAGCTGGCTTTATTTGCTGCAGCTTGAGGTGTAATTGAGAGGCAGTCGCCTCCGTTGGTTAAGATAACAACCAAATGAGGCAGCGCAATTGTGGCGCGTGTACTCTGGTGGGATGTTTGCGCCCAAGGTGCAAATGAAAAATGTAATTAGTGATGCGATTTCAGCAGATGGGAAAGAAGCGAGTTCGTGGGTTGGATGGGTTTAGATCCGAAGTGGATGCATTTCCTATTCCAGGCTGCTGTGTAATTACATTAGGATGTTGTTTTTTTTTCTATTGAGTGGGAGCAGCCGTTATTGGTTGTTAACTATGTTAACACGCATGGGGGGTGGGAGTGGGGCAAACATACACACACACACACAGAGAAACACTCAACTCATGAAATACAGAAGCATCACAAATGGAGCATCCACATTCGAGTGTGGAGAACATATCTAAAGGAAATGTGTTGCACACGCAGATATGCCTGCGATCATAAAATGGAAAACGTTACATGACATGACGATCGCAAAAGCTAAATCATTTGGGTTTTTTTTTGTTGTTGTTGAGAGAGAGAGAGAGAGAGAGAGAGAGAGAGAGAGAGAGAGAGAGAGAGAGAGAGATAAATAATATATAGTACATTTAAAAATATGCAGTCTACTTTTTGTTCACGTTTGACAAGTTTTTATTCAGATTTTTTTTTTTGCTCAGATTTCAGTCTTATACATGAAATGCATTAGAGGAGCTATTGCATTTCATATGTAGTATGCACACATTTGTATGTACTGTTTTAAAAAGAAAAAAAAAGACAAGAAGAAAACAAAAACATAAATCTGTTCTTTAAAAAAACATGGCTGGCTTTAACAGATTAAGTCTAGTGGCTATTTTTTTTTCTCATTTGAATGGGGCAGAGCCATGACATGCATCCCAATTAAGCACAAATCAAGACATTTTGAGAATACTGCGTGGACGATGTTTTTATCAGCCCAAATGTAATCCACAGTCATTAATCATAAAGTAGAGCATCATTTATCGCCGATAATAGTGTACACGTCGACTTCCCGAGAAGATGTTGTGCGACTAACAGTGGTTTTTCATATCCGTGTGAGCAGAATGCGGCGATGATCACATAGACTCTGGAATTGTCCTTACAAAGGAGCAGTGGAATTACGTTGTTGTGGATAAGTACCTGTGCATCCATCTCACGAGTGGTCCTTGAGCATTCGCTGACGCGTCAATGATACAGTAGCCGCCTGAGCCGAGACACTCAAAATGGATGTGAGGTGAGAAGTGATAGCGAAGTGCATGAAGGCAAACAAATGCAATGCTCAAACTTTGACTGGCTAAAATCAAAGAAGTAAAAGTAACACCTGTGAGGGCCACCGTTTTTTTTTTTTTTTGTTATACAATTGCTTGACACATGAATTCAAATCTTTTCTGTTGCTGGAGCTTGAAATGTTAAATGTACCGTATATTTACATATATCGCTGGGGTGACATCATCAGTTGTCATTTTAAATGACTTCCATCGCCCATGAGCTGCATTTTGCACAAATGAAATTAATATCACTTGCATTCACTATTAATTAGTTGATTTTACATTTATAATTTTACAGTTCCATTTTTACCTTTAAACATTTTTTTTTAATCTGTTCAATACTTAACAATCACAAATGCCATTGTGTATGATTGACAGTGAAATCAGAGTACCATTTCGTCTTCTTTGTATTTTAAGGCAGTTAAGATGCCCTGTAGCATCGCGCTGCCTCTCAGCGGTCAGTCTTGGTACTACAATGGATGTCTGACTTGGCGGAGGGAGACTCCCGATGGCCGATGGGTACCGTTATGTGCGTGGTTGGCCATCGACTACAGCGCACGCTATAAGAGCAGAAAGCAGACAACGTTCACGAAACCACCGTTTCTCCTCATGCGTGCGGTCTCCCAGATGAAAACAAACAAACGATTTCAGATTTCGGTATTTGTGTATCCATTTAAAACAGATTGTTAAAATGAACTGTTTTAATGAGGCAGACGATAGTTACGAAAACAGTGTTCACCGAAGTTAAAACAATCTAGAAAGCTAGCTTAAAAAAAAAAAAAAGTTAAGTTCCCATTTGTTTGAATTAGTGCCATGCAGCTTAGCAGCACCAAGGAGAACACAAATAAACCAGTGGACGCGATACTCATGCAGGGATGCTACACTATGAAATGTGGGGTGCGCTTAGGGTGACGTCATAAACAAAACCTGAGGCTCCAGTTCCAAGCGTCGTAGAAGGAAAGGAAGTCTCCATGTGTGAGGTAAAAGGTGTTTTGTTGTTGTTGTTGCTGTGGCTAAAACCTAATGGAATTCAAGGAAATAAAGTTATACATGTCCGCCCTGGTCCTGACCCAGTCTGCCAACCTCCGCATGGAGCCCTTCTCTCTGGTGAGGATGGCAGCCGCCTTCCTCAGCTTCTCCTCATTCCTCTCCAGGTAGCGGAAGCCCTCGGCCTGAAGCAGGGCCATCTTCTCCTGCCGGTTGTCGTCAATGGCGATGTCCTCGCTCACGTACGGGTTGAAGCGGAAATACGCGTCAGCGGGCAGGAAGCTGTCCAGCATGGCGTGGACCTCTGGCGAGCCCGAAAACAAACAACAAACAAACAAAAAAATCACAATTATAATATGTAATCATGTAGAGTATATCACTCCAATACAGTGGTATCTCTACTTACGGACATCTCTTCATACGAAATTTTCAAGTGACAAAACGCCTCAACAGGAAAATATTGGCTGTTGTTACGAAAGAAATTTCAAGATACGAAAGGTAAAAAAATACAGTATGGCTGGATAATCGTAGCTCCGAGTTTCCTCAACGCAACATACGTATAGCTGCTCTGCCATTGGCTGTTACCTGGCATCTTCCTGGCATCCCATTGGCTAAGAGGGACCATAGTTTGTGTTTTTGCTAGTTTCACCAAGTGTGTTCGACATTGATCAGGTACTGTTTTTCTGGCTTGTAGAGGACGAAAACAAACCGTCGGAACCCTTTTTGCTTTTCTTTATGTGTATATGCTCTTGATTGTATGATTTATGATGCTGACAAAAATAAAGTCACATTCATTAATTAAGTCATTCATTCACACTTTCAATTGGAACAAAGTGTCGTTTTAACGCTGTTTGCCCCATGATAGGAACGAATGAAATATTTATAAAAATGCGAGGGGTGTACTCACTTTTGTATGCATGACGAAGACGCCGCGGAGCAAATGCGTACGCTGTTAACGCCGCGGCAGCTCTCCAATGTTGCAGAATAAACGCTCAAGGTAACGACATGTCAAATTGTCCGTGAGGGCTACTTTCAGCTGCCAGACTCAACGTTGAAGAAAGCAACGACATGACATTTTCACACAAACAAACAGCAGGGTAGAAAATATAAACCATATTTTCCCCACCGTGGTTCAAACGTTCAGTCGTTCTGTTTAAATGAACGGCTTTTGAAAGCAAGGCAGTTTTATGAAAAAAAAAAAAAAAAAGTATTTTTTACTGTTCATTTGTTTCCACTCACAGTAACAAATTATTTTGAACCGATTTGTCGATCAGGCCACAGCGACCGATGCAGCGCTGCTGATACACAAACGCCAAGCGGCAGGCTTGTGAACACTGCTACAAGCAAGAGGGCCGAAATAAACAAATACTAATCCGCTGTTTTCACAATAAAGCCAAGCTGGGGAGAGAGCTTAATCCCAAATATACAAGCAACAAGTATTGAGTAGTAACATCGAGGTCACGCGCAGACAACAGTGGGGCTGGAGCCAAATTTCGACACAGCAGAAGAGTTGGTGTCCAGACGCGATAAAGAAGAGCGGGACGTCGAAGCAAGGGGGTCCCGAAGTAGGACGCGGGGTATGGTGTTCACAATGTTGGCATTCAAACGTGACAACAAACTAAACCATGCCCAATTGTCGATTTCATGAAATAAACACAATCGTACGACGTTTCGCCAGACCTGACAGGCTGTCTCTAAACCGCACATCGCTGTCGTTCCTTCAGTTTATCGTGGCTCAAAGGATTGGTTCTGCTTTACGGCTGGCTGTGACAGCCTTATTTTTTATTTTCATTTTTTTCAAAATTGGGATTGATTCTGACCCAAATGTGCCAAAAAATGCAGACGAATAGAGACGCTTTGCCCACGCGTGGAAGGACGGGATGAGCCGACTTGGCTTTTTTTTTACGTCATGTACACGCTGCGTTATTCCTGCGCTTTGTGCTTCTTGAGATGTGCTGCAGGTTTCAGGCATATTGATTTGAAGGCAAAATCAGAGGAGAAATTGGAGCGGTCCAAATCTGCGTCATTAGTCACAACACTGCAATACCTCGCTGAGCTGCAAGGGTACAAAAGGATAAAAACTCACGGCTGGTTTGACTTATCGACACAGAACATTAGTGAGGCTTCTTTCAAACCTGTGGAGAAACTTCAGTCATGATGCACACAAAGAAAGAAGACTTTCACAACTACTGCGACTCAGTAAACTGCAGTAAAATTTTTTCGCGGAGGATTTAGGAATGTCGGGACGGTGTTGATGGCCCCTCTGCCTCTTTGTTGTTGTTTTTTTTTTTTTTTTGCCTCGCTGGGAAAACTGCAACGGGTGGTTGTGTCGAGGTGAAGCTGCATGTTTGAATTGTTGCAGCATCCCGCATGAACTTTCTTCATACATTCATTCATTTTCCGAACCGCTTGATCCTCACTAGGGTCGCGGGGGGTGCTGGAGCCTATCCCAGCCGTCTTCGGGCAGTAGGCGGGGGACACCCTGAATCGGTTGCCAGCCAATCGCAGGGCACACAGAGACGAACAACCATCCACGCTCACATTCACACCTAGGGACAATTTAGAGCAGTCAATCAGCCTACCATGCATGTTTTTGGAATGTGGGAGGAAACCGGAGTACCCGGAGAAAACCCACGCAGGCCCGGGGAGAACATGCAAACTCCACACAGGGAGGCCGGAGCTGGATTCGAACCCGGTACCTCTGCACTGTGAAGTCGACGTGCTAACCACTGGACTACCGGGCCGCCCTTCTTCATACATCATACATATAAAAAAAAAAGAAGATAAATCTAAATTCTTGGCTTAAATCCAGTCTTCCCACACGTCAGCTATAGCTTTCTACTTAGATACTAACTCCATTTTTATTTCTAGCTCAACTACACACATGCCCTCACGCTGCAATCTGATGCGCTGCCTTCCAGAGTGCCTGGCAGGAGGGTTCTCTCCTCATTACGGTGAAGACGGATCTCTCGGAGTGAGTCCCCAAAAGATACAGGGAAGTTAACTTATTACCCAGTGTCCTTGGTAAAGAATCATCGAGGCCTCTAAATGTGGTGATGCATCTCATTGCTGGACGATCGAGGCTATTCGTTGGGCCGTCTACGTTGGTTCGCATTGTGTGTTAGCATGAAGCTAGCGGATGGCAAATTTTATGTGCTTTGTTTTTAAATACACAAAGTGTAATTCTCATTGCCGACGCAGTGTTTGCACCTCTTTTTTTTTTCAGAAGTCAAAGAAAAAAAAATGGCTCATATCACATAAAAGTCAGCTTACTCATATCTCAATATGAACCACAGTAATTACTGCAATGCCTCTGAATTTTGAAAGGAGAGCTATAGCCGCGAATACACTTTTCAGGCATTTAATTGAATGCCGGGAGAACAGTAAAACACAAACACAATGAGAACTCACGCAGGAGCAGCTGTCAGCCACGGCTTACACTCACACGCTCATAAATGCAATGCATGCAGTAATTTCTCAACATTAGAAGCTTGCTTTTTTTTCTGTGTTCAAACCCATTTCAAATTTGTTGAAAATGTGTTTTAAATGTGTTCAAAATGTAAGGGAAGGGTAAAACTGATCTCTATATCGCAAATGTTCACCTAGAAGGGCGGCTCTGAAATATAGGATTCACTGTAATAGAAGAAACGTCGAGGATATTGACCGTATTTCAATTTCGACAAATGTCACCATCCAAAGACTCGCGAGTCAACCTCCCCCGAACCGTCACTCACCCTCGGTGTCTGTGGCGCTGCTGATGACATTGTTGATTTTGGTTTTAAGGCTTGTGTATGTGCCGCTGTTGCTCTTGCCCGCCGTTTCAAAGCGACCCGTGCCCACCGAAACCACACACTCCAAGGGCGTGTTGGGCCACAGACACTTGGATTCATGGATGGCCAGCGCGGTGGGGTTGTTGATGAGCAAACCTCCGTCCTGCGCACACACATACAAAAAAAAAATACATAAACAAAATAAAACAAATGCACGGTGATTTTGTGGATTGTTTTTTTTTTTTTTTTGAGGACCATCCAAGCAAGCAAAAAAAAATAATCAATGCAGCTCCGGTCCTGTTTGCAAGATGACAGAGCACACAACGCAATTAAAGTTCTTTTTTTTCCCCTTTTCTTTTCTCCTCTGTGCTCACACTTCCCGTCAGCTCTATTTTGAAATCGAACAAGCGCCCAGGAGTGCTTTTGCTTTGAATCGACGGTCTACCTAAGGCTATGGGGGGTGTAACTGGAGAGACGACAGGGATTGATGAATAGGCATGAGGCTGCTGGGCTGCTGGGTTGGCAGCAGGATCAAACACGCAGGGGCCAGTCCTCATTAAAGAGGCCAAGCTGGGGGTGGGAGCCGTAGGGCCCCTCCGAGTGTCTTTGGAGGGATATCGGAGGGGGTGGATGAGAGCTTGTTGATGAGACTGTGGTGTTTAATTGCAAATTCATGCTCGTGTTATTACCGCGCAATACGAGAGTAATGTGAGTAGTTTTTGTCTGTCAGAGTAAATGTCACATCGATTCACATTTCAGCGGAGGCCTGCAAGGATGCAGTTTGACCAAAGTGGCTCTTTCCGCGCCATTTTGGATGCTGGCACAAGAAGACATGAAATCCCAAACAAGAGAGAAAATGTGTTGGACTTGCTCCAACTGAAGACTTAATGGGACTCAGACACGGTAAGAATCCAGCAAGAGACAATAACTCTGCAGCTATTCTGATCACTCGCCCCACCGTGTCTACGTTGTGAACGCAGTGCCGGTGGCTTGGTTTCACCCACACATTGGCCAAGGATAATGAGCTCATGAGAGGCAGATTGAAAGTTGAATGCTGCTACGTGGCTCCATTTCAGGGCACCTGCTCGGCGAAGTGAGTCGAGGGCCTTTAATTAAGAAAGTTCTGAAAAGTTCCATACTTCCTCTTGTGGGCTGATGGTTATTTTTCAGTGTATGGCGCTCCTAACTTTTTGTGAGGCATCACTTGCTTTGGAGAGTCAACCAGCTTTCTCCTTCAGCTGTCAGAAGTAAACAACACACCTCCGATGAGGAGGTAGCAGGCTGAAGCGACAACAAGGACAGGTTGGCAGATGCTGCAACTATGACAGGTGAGATATGCACATCGTGCCACGCACACTCTCACTTTAACGGTGGTCCCGTTCAAGTTCAAACCCTCGGCCCGTTTCGACAAAACCACAAATGGGCTTTGTAGTCAAAACAGCAAAATCCAAGCAGTCCGTCAAATATGAAGCACAGTATAAGGAAAAGGTTCTTTGAGTTGATCATACAGTGGTACCTCTAATTACGAATGTCTCTTCATACGAAATTTTCAAGTTACGAAACGCCTCAACGGGAAAATATTGCCTCTTCAAGATACAAAAGGTAAAAATACAGTATGGGCTGCTACTCGCAGCTTTGGGTTTCCTTAACGCAACATACTTCTAGCTGCTCTGCCATTGGCTATTACCTAGCATCTTCCTGGCATCCCATTGGCTAAGAGGGACCTCTACCGTATGTGCCTGTGTGTGTGTAGATAAATAGATAGATATGTATCTGTGCAGCATCCACGATGCTGATGTTTGCTTTGGACATTTTCAAAGGATTGTTAAAAGCCGACAAAAGCAAACGTCCTTGGATCAGTTCTTTACAAAACGCCATGCAAAAACCACTTTTGAGCGAGAACATGAACTAAAGAGGGAAAAAAACAATGAGGACGCAGTTCAAATTTAAATGACCATCATTTTTATTCTGGGTTTTTTTTCATTATGCACAACTCTCATTTATTGTGCAATAATCTAATTGTAACATGTATTTGTTACATATTTTGATGCATTTTTATGCTTTAGAAAACATTACTGTCTGAATTTTGGGGGGAGGGGGGGGCCGTTGGAACAGATTAGGGCATTTACATGGAAAACGCGTCTGTACTTACAAAATTTTCTAGTTAAGAAATTTCTTCCAGAACCTATTAATGTCATAAGTAGTGGTACCATTGTAATTTAATACCACTCGTACCTCGTGTCAATCGCTTTGGGCGCAGCACGCCTTGTGCCACCAGATGGATGTCCTTGGAGAGTGCGCACCTGTCAGCGACAGATCTTTAAAGAGGGAGTTCTGAACTGCTAAATGGCAAGCAGCTTAATGATTTCCTGCCAATGTCGACCGTTGATCCTCCGGAGGATTAGCACTCCGCCATGCTCGCCGTCGCCCTTCGGGGGCCGACTGCTGGCTCATAAACCAGATCATCAGAAAGCAAATTTTCAACTAATTAGGCCATCTTCACCTAAGGGGAATGTGGTTCACTTTGACTGATTGACAATTAAGGTCCTCAAAGTAATTGCTCCAACAGCGCATCATGAAATGGGACTTGCAGGAGAACATCGGCTGGCATGAAATAAACAAAAGGGAAATTGGCACCGCTGTTTGAAATGACTCATCTTCCATTAGCGTTTGCGAGCTTATCTCCCCTGTGCCACTTGAAGTGGCCCTGCAGGGGGAGGGTTGCTGATCTCGACAGAAAAGAGGCACTATCGCCGAGATCAGTAAAAGTCATTTCACGGACGAGTGTACGTCAGACGCCATTAGCCGCAAGAGAAAACTTTATTCTCTTCCTTACGACTTTGCGCTCCGGTGTCTCCTCTGCTTTATGAACTGACCCGCGGGCATCAGCGGCTGGTGAGAGACTCGAGCGGAAAGAGAATGTGAGCTCCTGCTTCAATCCAAATCAGTCCGACACTCAGTCCGATATTTTGACTCTCAAATTTTCCCCCCGCTCGGGGATCAGTAAAAAAAAAAGTAGACGACAAATGAGCTGAGCCTTTGACATACATCTGGTGTGGTATTCAAATCACAGCTGCAGTCATTACAAATTGCCCTTGGCCATGTTGTCAAAGCTGAACCGGGGCAATGATTTAAAAGCAGGCTCTGCCAAGCCGACTCTGCCACACACGCCAAGGATGCATTGACACGTCCTGAATATGTGATTAAGCCCGTCGAGATGGTCATTCACTTCATAATAGAAGGAAATTGCGCCGGAATCACTTTCGTTACTCAAATCAGTTCGATCTCTGCCAAACGGTGCATTTTCCCAATTCATCGCTTCATTGAGTTACATAAACTGCCGAGCCAGCATCCAAATGGCATAAAGGCCGCCCCTGTTAGCGGGAAGGATGAGCGTGACAATGCTGTCAGTGTTGGAAGTGCCACTCAAGAGTGGCAGTCAGCCCAGGTCAGGGGTCTTCATGGCAAATTATACAATTACGCCGAACAGTTCTCCTCCTTCCCTTTTGGATCTCACGGGGCTCGAAAGGTCAGAATGAGGTTCAGTGCCCCCCTAGATGACAAAAGAAGCGGGACTCATCTGTATTGAGGGGAAGCGACGCCTCAGGCGAGGAAAGCATTTGAGATTTACTGTCTGCCGTTGTCTTTTCCCCGCACAAATACACGACCACACATGTGCAGCCAGTATTGTCGCAATCAATCACGCAACTATACAGCCGCCGAAATTGAACCGCGACATACTACAAGTCCACACATCCCACTGGGATTAGATTTGCTCAAACTCGATTCCCTTGAGGTGTTATGTACATATTAGTCGACTCCACACCACTAAACATCATTTTGATTTCCACCGTCTGCTCCGGTCATCTCCTGGGCAATTTCGCTCTAATTTCCCCGCCGCGAGCGCGGAGACGAGGCCGAAGACAGACTTGCATATTAATATGAAGGAACGCGAGGTGTGACTCGAGAGTTTATTAAGGGAAGTGTTTCCTGGGGCTAGAGCGATGTAGTACTGTGATGAACAAGGCGCATAAGCGATACATAGCCCCGACCTGCAACACTGAAACAGTCAGTTGGAGACTCACGTGACAAGAAAACCAGCGAGAGTAAAAACCCCCCATCACATCATCTATGGCTATGCTCACAGCAGGGTTGAGCGCTTGCCGCTCCATCAAAGGGTTTTGTTTCGTTTTTTTACGCCTTGGTTTTAGTGCCAGGGACTCACGATCTATATGGCATTGGTTAAGGGAAGCGCCGATGTGATTCACGACATCTCCCAGACTTCCCGCGGAGCACGGCGCCCAGTCGGCTCTCTCGGGAGCGCTCGTGAACGGCAAGGGTGGGCCGACAATCCCGTTCCTCCCCGTGAATAACGCTGGCAGGGGTCGGCACGAAAAACCGCACGGCCATTCCACCCCCACGTCGCCTGAGGAGACGCCATGGCAACAAGGCCCTCCTCGTCATTGCATACGGGCCCTCGCGTCCTTTGTGAAACGTCTCAACTCATGTTAAGCTTATGTCATTTAGTGCCGGGATAACTTTGAAAGCTTTTAATGTGGAACCACTCGTGTAGCAAGTGTGAGGCAGAGATAGCAACAAACAAAGCTTCTCTTCACCAAAAAGGTTGGCTCTAAATTCTTTTTTTTTTTTTATCTAAAAATTTCTGAACAACTGGAATTCCAAATATGACCTGAAGATCACATCACCAATTTCTAGGGGCAGCGCTCGAAAAAATACCAGCAGTCTTTCAGCACATGGCTACGGCAAGCCCCTTTTGACCAAACAAGAGGGGAATTGTTTTGGCTCCTGAATTAAGTGGACAGCTCTGTGGGCGCGGGTGGAAAACAGTGAGATGACTCTCTTGTCAGTTGGGAATCCTGACATCAGAGAGATGGCATGTCGTGCTCCCATTTCAGTGGCGCGAGCTGCGCTCATTCCTGCCAGTGTGACTCAGATGTGAGCAAAAACTTCACTTGGTGTCCTCCGGGGTTTGTCAGATTACAAGAAGATCAATTAGGTGACTAATAGGGTTGGCCGTGTAGGCATTTCCGACTTGATTAATTTCTTAAGCCATGACTTCACCAAGTAGTGCAGTTAGATCACTTCGGTTTGCCTTGGTATGGTTCAAAGCAGTCAAGCCTTATTGAGCTCCAAATATGAGTCCTCAGAAGCCTTTTGACTTTCGGCAATAACAAAGCGACAGGATGCTCTTTCCGCTACGAACCTGGTCATTGTGTGCATGTTCATTTTGGAAGATCCTTCAACTTGCAGATCCTTGACCCTGAAGTGAGGTTTTCCACCTCGAGATCATGAAATTTGGAGATGCTTGAATTTGACGCGATGTTTTCCCACTCACCAGCTCTCCCTATAAAATTGCTTTTGGCATGCGAGTGTCATTCTCACAACACAAGCCGAGCTCGGTGGACATGATGTGAGGGTAATATCAAGTCGGAGTGCTTTCCACCATCGACATTGTCTTTCCGGGTCATGTTCGTCATTGTTCACAGACTGCAAAAAAGTGAAAGCTGTTGAGCCGCCACAGTGCTCTTGCCTCTGGTAGATAGGCCGGAAAGGAGAATTTGTGCTACAGACGCAAAACCTGGGGAAACCCCGCCTTCAAGTTGTAAGGAGAGAATCTTATAGTTACAGACAAGCTTGTGAATAAATCAACCAGTGACTCATTGAAAAAAAAAATTCATTGGTGGGCCTCTTAAGATTTGTATTTTTCTTCTTCCTATTCCTAGGAAAAACATGCAAATTCCACACAGGTAGGCCGGAGCTGGAATTGAACCCGGTACCTCTGCACTGTGAGGTCGACGCGCTAACCACTGGACCACTGGGCCGCCCCGTCTGAAGTATGACTATGTAAATACGAGTTCCCATCGGGGATCAATACAAGACCAACACGAAAACTAGAAATACTGTAAAACAATTACTGGGTTGAAAAGTGGACCGACTGGGCTAAATGGCATTTACGTCCTAATTCCTCTTGCAAAGTCGAGAAATGCAAAAAGATAGGCCCAATGTGTTGAAAAATATCTGCCGAAGGTGTCTTGCAATTCGAGCTCTCGTTCCCGCGCGTGTGAAGAGAGCCTCCCATAATTCGGCAATTTGCCTTTATTGTCCCAACGAGGCAGGTGAAGCAGTCAAACGCTCGTGTGTGATGCGGGAAGCTCGCTCGGCAAATTTATGCGACCCGCGACACGGCAGAGGCGGGGGGGAAGTTTACCTCAACGTCGGTGTGTTGTTATCAACCAGTCTCTTTCATTTTCTTTCCCCGCATGCACCGCCACAACCCACATGGCTTTCCAATTAAAGGCGAAGCCAGGGTGCCGCGACTGGGATATTGCCTTTGATCCACTCGCACACTTCATTGTGTGTACCGAACATCTGTGCGGTGAAAGTCAACCCAAGGAGATGTTGACATATGTGACGAAATCCCCACCTCTCAAAAAAAGGAAAACAATAAATTTGAATGAATCTTAGGGCTTTTTTTTTCTCCCTACAGCGTTAATGCATTTTACTAACATGTCTTACTCAAGCAGTTTTAAGTTTTCTGACTAAGCGCTTAATCAGCCGGTAAAGGCGTAGAGTGGCGTTGGGTATTGATCAGTCAAATGGTAGTGTTTATGTTATGGCTGATGCATAGCTGTTCATGGGAGATGGATTTAAGTGCATCTGTGCGTCACTCCCCCGGAAAAAGGAAAAACAAACGACAGGTAGGAAATTAAGTTCTTCCCTCTTGCACGTATGGCAAAGAGGTTTGCATCTATCAGTCTGGATGTTATGAATTTTTCAATGCAGTATAACGCGACTGCTTTTTTTCTAACTGACCTGGTGGAGATCACTCCCTAACGGGAACTCCTGGAAATACCCGGGGGCCGCCGATGTGGCTCGGATGGCCTGCCAGAGCTGGTGTTGACAGCCCCCCAGGTAGTGGGAGCGCACGCCCGGCAGCAGGTTGTAATTCCTGAACACGTAGGCCTTGAGAGGAGTGCCTCGGTTCACGATGGCACTCACCGCTGCCACCTATGGGGAGGAAGAGGGGGGTGGGGGGTCAATATAATGACGTGCAAGTTGACACTTTGAGGTTGGATGTACACAGCATGGCTCAAATGGCACAATTGCACTTTTTTGTTCGTCCCAGGTAGGTACATTCAGGCCTCTTGGATAAAACTCCGAGGAACTCACTTTGGGACATTCAGGGTTTCTAGAAGTCTCCACTAGGAGGTGCGAGCCCATTTTCTCCCTGTCATAGGGGAAAGAGGAGTTAATTCTTTGCAACATAATTATGGACTACAAATTGAGATTTTGATGACTATTACATCAATACAGAGTAACTTCCAAGCTCCGCTCCACTCTAGATGCAAATTGCTCAGAGGAAATTATGTGTTCCAGGGTTCAACGGTTGCGATAACAACCATTCGTGCAAAGCAACCTTTTTAAAATTCTTCGATGTCAAAGTGCGTCACCTAAATTTTTCTTGAAAAATGTTCCACCCTTAGAGGCAATTGAGTTGAGATGTTCCACTGTCTCATCAAAATGGCTAACAGGACGACCACGAGCCTTTTCAACTGACTCTGCCTCCTTCTGCCATCCACATTCACAGCCGCACTAACTTGAGCATGCTCTCCCAGGCTTCGCTGTCATAGAAAGCGTGACTCCAGCCCATCTTCACTGTGCCGACAATCACGTTCTGCTTGAAAACGTCCGAGCCCAACTTGCGGTAGAGGTCATCACACTCGCTTGGTGGGAGTTGGAAAATACCCAGCATGAACCCCAGGATTGCACCTAACCATGAGAAAGGAGGTCAGAACAATTATTTTTCCCCTCTGATGATCTGGGGAAGCATAACAGTACCACAAGTGTAGAGAGGGGGACGTGATTAAAAATTGTGTTTGATCAAAAAGAGAGCAGCTGTGAGCCAGATGGATATTTGGAGCTTGCGCAAGCTTGTGTTGGTGCTTAAAGGCCAATCTGGACAATAAATGGAGTGCTTCAAGATGCTGCCAAATAACACAGCTGAGGATGAAGTAGTCCACAGCACCCCCAAGTGGGTATTTTCATATGTGCCTGTCATATGTGTGATGAGGACTCAAAACTGAAAAATTTGGTCTAAACTGGGCTAGCTAAGTATGTAGGGGCAGCCCGCATAATCCGTGCTACAATCGTACATATCCACATCTCACCTGTGCTGACACCACAAATATAATCAAAGAGTTTGTAAATCGGTTTGCCGGTCAAGGCCTCCAACTTGTGCAAAGTCTGAAGGGCAAGAAGTCCCCTGAAAAAAAATAAAAATAAATTGTCAATGATAAACAAGGCACGTAAACAGGGTGCATGACACTGTCTATGCTCGACTGTGACGATAACAACAACAGCCGGAGTCCACAGTCACGGACCAAACTCATAATTTCGCCAATTGTGGCAACCGCTTTAATAGACTCAAATAATTGTCGGCATATTGGAATCAATAAATGCTTAACCTTCTAGCCAGAATTACAGATAAAATCAGACATTTTTGCAGCATTACTGTAAAACACAATAAGATGTTTCATGTATGTATAGGATTGGGACGATTTGGTGGTGGTGTCATACCAAGAAACATATTTTGCACTTTCAATTGCCCGTTACATCTGCAATGTTGAAACTCCCAATCACAGCACAACTAGTGGTCAACAGTCAGCCAATCATGAAAACTAGCTTCAGAGCCCCGCACGCTGTGCGGCAGTTCAGTCTCATGCGGCGGGGCCATTTGCCTCGGTATGGATTTGTGGAAACAAATACAATATTCCATGCGGTTGAGGGCACCATACATCACAATTAATTTTGGTGCACTTCATGTGCTTCATTTGAATTGAATGTTTTTGTTACATAGTATTTTATATATGTTTGGCCGATTATGAACAACATGCTATTATTTCAATTTCAATGTTTAATGAGTGCATCACTGAATGATAGGTTAGCCGTCATGAAATAACCCAAGTTGACATAATCTCAAGAAATATATATGAAATGAGTGCAACTAAATCAAACTTCACATACATAGAAGACTACAAAACTCAAACCTTAAGCCTCCCCCATCTATGGACAGGATGCGTATGCCGCGGCCTTTCACGGGTTTATGGTAGCCCACCAGAGCAAGAGCTTCTCTGACCGCTTCCCTCAATCCAGGGTCACTGGCCTGTTGCAGACGCAGCAGGCAGGGGATTACCTTCTCCTGATAAACAAACAGACATTCAATGTGCTGACTCATTTCAGTCAGAGAACATAACAAAGTACCTACGGACACCCATTTCGCTAATGCTCAATACAGCCGGTTCAGAAAGCTGTGTCTCTCGGTGCCCGCCCACCGAGATTTTTATGCCCCCCCCTCCCATTTGAGGCAAGGATTTCTAAAAGTAAGTTTAGGACAGACGGGCAAAATTGGTTAAAGTGCCAATCAAGTGGCCCATGGTTAGAAAAATGTTAAGAGGCATCAGATGAGGCTGTAATATAAAAAAGCAGGGCAGCCTACCTGAGGTGACATTTTGCCTACCCCACTCAAACAATAATAATTAAAACTACAAGCGACCACGAACGTGCCCTTACACCCAGTTTCTTGTGCCGAATCCTCAAAATGAAACTTCATACCAAGCGCCGCCCACATTTTAAGGTACAGGCAAACCAATAGCACACAAACAATACAAGATCCAGATCATAATTTCAGTGTCTATGAAAGATAATTCTCACTTTTGATTGACACTGTTGTCAGTTAAAATAAATTGTGCATGTGTATCTCATGTTATGGCTCCAAAAACATCATCCCACTCACCTTGACGGCAACCCCACATGTTTCGGGAAACTCCAGCAGGTGGTAGCTGAGGTCCTCCACCCTGCTGATGTATACCCTTACGTCGGTGGCCCTGTGGAGCGCCTGGACCAGTGCCCGGGTTCGATTGTCTACGCTCACCCTGGCGATGATCTAGTAGAAGGGAAATGGCGAAAAAAAAGCATCACATTATGAGGCACACCTACCCCGCATGATGTTTGCTTATGACCAAATATTATGCAGTATTTACATTTACATTAACTTGCCTACATTTCCCATTTAATTCCTATAAACCCCATGTGAAGTTTCCGTTTGGAATATGTAAAAACAAAATTTTAAAAATCCCCGGCTTCACTTTCCACGGTCATTCATTGTAGCCCTACAAACAAACCTTTTCCCTTTGGACCAGAAGTTTCTTGGCCTTCTCCTCTGCCGCTTTATGCTCTGTACTGACAGCTTTCTCCACCTGCTTCACCGGCTCATCCTGCAGCTTCTTGACTTCATCCGTGGCACTTTTGGTCTCCCCTGTCCTGAACTTGGGGACCAAGGGGGCGATGTAGCTACCCACAAAAGCTTGCACGGTGGGAGCGGAATAGGACAGGTAGTGACTGAGACCTTTCTTGGACGAAGTGGGTGCAGTAGGAGGAATATGATCTGGTTTATTGGACAAGGAATCACTCATTTTTAGAACCTGAGAGGGGGGATTAGATGCTACATCAGCATGGTTGTCCACGTCTTTTTTCTGTGTAATGCTCCCAAAGTAGGAATTGATGTGGTGGGCGAGGTAGTTGTAGGTTTCATCCAGGTTTACTGAAAATGTGCTGGGGTGAAAAAGTGCAGTGGGTTGTTTGGAAGACAGAGTCCCACTCTCACCAGATGACTGCTGAGGCTCCTCTGGCTTGACGGTGGCGTTGACACGCTGCAGTTTTTTCTCCCTTACTTCCCGCGCGGCCACAATGGCAGCAGTGGCGCTCGCTTGCGAGGTGTTACGAGGTTGGGGAGGTGAGGGAGCCGTGGCACCACCCTCCAGTTTAGCCACAGATGTCTGACTCGAAGGACTGCATGGCAGACTCACTTGATTCTTGGGAGCAGCTGGAGAAACCGGAGTGATTTCCACAATTTTCGATTCAGTAGTCGATGCCACATTTTTGCCACCTTTGTTTGTTTTGAGCCGGGCAATCTTGGAGAGGAGGTTGGTTTGGGTCACAGCTTTGGAAACTGTGTCCAATGTGTTCTTTACCCGAGACATGTGCTGGCTGAGGCCCGTGGACCAACGTGATGCTGAAGTGTTCAAATGCAGACCACTGGTGTGGAGCCCGAGCTTCTGTCTCACAACTTGGTTAGCCCTGCACAGGCGTTCCTTCTGAGCCCGGAGCCGCGAGTGAAGGACGTGCTTCTGGCTGAGGAGGATCACCTTCCTGCAAGGAGGATGCTGGACATGGAGGGAACAGTGCAAGGTACCTGAGAAGGGAAATTGTGAGGATGCTGATTTGCAAGGGCTCCATAAGTAAAACGTTCTGTTTGGTTTAAGACAGGCACTGAGACACCATGTATGACTCATCCTTTTACAAGCCAAGAGTTCAGTCCATCCAAAGAAATTTTAACGCTACACTCCTCCTTTCCATGAACCTGTTGATGATGAACACAAAAATGGGAGGAAATAAAAAACATGACAATGACAACGAAACACTCACCGTACTTAAATATTAATACGTACCTTATTCTAGACTATAAATACACAGAAATTGTGATAAATGAACGAATGATAGAACTCAAAACAAATGCATTCCGAGGACATGAAAAGTTGGCTATGGTGAAAATGACATCGCCGCTAGCTAACAGGCTAGCAAACACACAATTCAAACCAAATACACAGGCGCAAAACAGACCACAGCTTTTATATCGTCGTTTCAAGGTGAGCCGCAACCTTTAAATTACTCTTCTTCAGCCGCCACCCATCTACAACCGAAGAAATGACGACATGCGGGCAATGTGTTTCCGAGCTGACGCCTGATTTCCACATTTACATGACGTCACCAGAAAAGAAAAACAACAACCACGTGAGAAATCAAAAGGCGTACCATTGGTTAGTTGGCGTTTGACCCACTACAATTACAAACGCTGATTGGATGGTTTTCTCCGACCCGGAAAACAAGTGTATTTACAATATGACTTACAGTTTAAGCACAATAAGCATGTTTTCAGAACGGTCGGGCAAATTACTTTTGTTAAATGGAACCAAGACTCCGGTATCCTCCCACATTCCAAAAACATGCATGCATAAATTGTCCCGAGGTGTGACTGTGAGTGTACTGTAAATGGTTGTTTGTCAACGTGTGCCTCGCAATTCGCTGGTAACCAATTCAGAGTGTACCCCACCGACAGCTCGAAGACAACTGGGATTGGCTCCAGCACGCCCGCGACCTTCGTGAGGAGAAGCAGCTCTGATAATGAATGAATTTAAAGGGACGGAAATTTTTACATTAACAACTTACCACTAAATACCAGAGATAAATGGCGGTATTGGGAACTTATTGCCTAATCAGTCATTTAGAAATGAAATATAAATGACTTCCAGCCCCCCACCGCCAAAAAAGAAACCTGATCAATCTACTACTGTACAACTAAGTTTTTTTAAGTGTATTTCCAACTTTTACCAAAAGGGGGAGCCACGTGCATCCGTGACCATTTGCCATATTTGAGATTTGTCACCGAAGAAGAAATGCAACGATGGCGCCACCTCCTGTCACTCACATTTGAAGCTAATAACGTCACGTTTATCGTCAAATGAATGACCTCCCGTTCGGTACATTTAACGTCATGTTTATCGTTGGTTAAATATTGAATAGAACCCAGCTGATTGGCTAGCACGTGCACATCATACAAGGTGAGTAGATGACGTGTTTGGAACGTTTGAGCTTGAGCAGACGTTTGCCTTTGTGTCGAGTGCCTGAGAACCACCAGCTATGCGTGACAGTAATTGGAGTAAAATATCCTCTCCTCATTGTATGTTTATTGTGCAGGACAACTGAGTCATGGCCAATGCAGAGTCTGCTATGAAGATGGCCGTGTGCCTCCTCGTGATAGCAGACCTGCTACTTGCCAAGAAGGACTACCACGATATACTGGGAGTGCCGAAAGACGCCACTGAGCGGCAGATAAAGAAAGCATTTCACGGGCTCGCCATGAGGTATCACCCTGATAGGAACAACAGCCCCGACGCTGAAGTGAGATTCAGGGAAATTGCAGAAGGTATAGTTGGTTCGTGCTATTCTGGCAACGTCCATCCATTTCCGATAACACTTTACAACACCTGTGGGCAATTTAGATTCTTCAATGAACATAATACAGTACAGTACAATAATCCTGATTTATATAGCGCTTTCACAACAGCTGCAGTTGTAACAAAGCGCTTAACAAAACAGTTAACATAAGCACAACACAACATAAAACACGGACAGTCGTGCAATCCTAACCACTTTTCCCCTCATACACTTTGTTGTTCTGGTCATGCTCAAAATGTGCACACGTCGGCTACAAGCTAAGTTTCAAATTCAACAAGAAGCTGTAGCATCCACTGACGAAAAAAGAGATTGGTTCACTTCTCCTGTCCCATGTAAAATACATTTCAATTCCAAGCGGCGACTCTCAGTTCCAAATACGCATCTGCGCTCCATCCAGCCGCACCAACGCAGACTGTCCAAAAGCGCGGAAATCTCCACTGAACAAAACGGGGCTGTGAAAAACGCTGCCCATTACAGGCGCAAAATACACAAGCGCCCCGGGGCTGTCCAGCACCGACAGTCAAATGGCGCCGACATTCCTCCCAATCAAAATCAGTGCTGGTACATGCGTGCTGCCGAGAAGGCGCAACCACCAAACACAGATTCTTGTCCTTTGACGAATGTCGTGGCCAAACATAACATGGATGGTTTTAGAATGTGACAGGACATATTAATGGCATTTCTAGTTATGCGAATGTAGAAAGTTGATTTGAGTTAACAGGCATCAGCACAGACCAAATTTGCAAGTCACGGTACTGCTGTACTGTAATCATATGTGTTCTGTCTTTGATCGTTTTTTTTTTTCAGCTTATGAGATGTTATCTGATGTTACCAGAAGAGGAGAGTACGACCAGTTTGGGGGCAGCGCCTCGTATTTCACAGCAGGCACGCAACAGAGGCGAAGCGCGCGCCAACCATTCAGCTTCAAATTGGACGACATCTTAAAGGACTTTAACATGTACAACCACAACAGCAGGCACGCCCGGCACAGGCAACACTTTGATGAACATTCCCAGAAAAAATCCCACGGGCGACACAAGAGAAACTTTGAAGGAGCCGGCTTCTTTGGCGACCTTTTCGACGACTTTGAAAAGATATTCGCCTTCCACATGCACCCCACAGAGACTGAAGGCATCTTCCGCACCGCCTCCAAACAGCACTGTAGAACAGTGACGCAGCGCAGAGAGAACATGGTGACCACATACACAGATTGCACTGCAACTTAGGAAGCAATAGCCACCTGACTCGGATACAGTAGGCTTGTAATGATGAATCAGAAAGATACATTTAAATGTGACGAGATTTCCTAAGGGGTGGGAAATTTCCTGTTGAGAAATTCCGCTAATTCCACATCATTTCTGAATCCTCTCAGCTGCCTGAGGTTCCACGCGCTGCTTCTGTTTGCTAGGCTTTTGCCAAGATGTTGGAAAACAAGGGCTGGGATTTTGTTTGTATCTTCTGAATGTGGATATTCCACCATTGTTTCAGCAAAAATCCCGAAGTCCAAAGTAGAGGTTAATTCCCATGGATAGTTTTGAAAATTCCGTGAATTTTGGAACCCTGAATGTAACATTGAAAGCTGCTGTCCCGATTATAAATGTTGCCATAAGCAGCCATGAGATTGATACTGAGGCAGACAAACTAACCACTAGATCGCCATTATGTCCATTTTGCCACCAGCTTTATATTTTTAGTTGCCCCCCCCTGTATTTGGCTAGAGGGCAATGGGGTGGCTTGCACGTCTTCATTGCTGATCTGAGGTTCTGGGATTGACTCTGCCTTAGCCTTCCTGTGTGCAGTTCCTGTTCTTATTCTCTGTGAGAACTCTTAGGTCCTGGTGTAGTTTACACCAACCTGGGTGGGTTTTACATTGTTGTCCACTTTTTCTCACATTAGGGCGTGTTTCTCAGAATATTAAATATGTACGAAACAGTGTTTTAGTGGACAGCTTAAATAAAATTGATAAAGCACCCATTTTGCCACCAAGGCCCCCCATGAAAATGTGATTGTGTAAAGCATCATGACTTTTCTGTTTTTGAGCCTTTGATTTTCTTTTGAAATGTATCAACTGGTTTTCAAATGTATGTGAGAAAAGGGGTTAAGCAGTCAAGTACTACTGTCATGCTGTATAAAAGTTATTTGTAAATACTGAAAATATCACCATGCTTTCATCGTAGTAGTAACCCACAGAATAGAGTAATACAAATGGAAACAGTTCTAACATGTTACTTCATTTCTAGTTTGTGATATGACATTGTCAGTCATGTGCAATATTTTTGTTTTTGACGTAAAAGATCCAATGCAAGCACTTTTTGTATGAGTGTGTGGATTGCTGCCTTTGCGTTTTAAAAATGTGTTTTGAGAAATAAAAAGTTAACACCAAATATCTTAGGTCATCTCAGGTCGATTAGTATGAACCCTTCATGGAGTTGCTGTGATTTAAACACGTTTTTGTGGGCAGAATCCCCACTAAAATTAAAGGAATTCTTTTGTAATCAAATCAATATCCTTCAAACATGAGTAGTGTAATCTAAAATATGTTAACCTGTATTTACCGTTCTTAATCCCTTAACAAACAGTAGAAAAGCATTTTATATTTCCATTTGTCAGTTAAAAAAAAATCCCATCACGAGTGCAAATATTTTGGTTGCACCCGTGGTTACTGTTGCGTAGGAGATTTTGTTATGCTGCCGACGTTTTATGACGTCACTTGCATGAATGTAGTTCAATCATCAAAAAAATCCCAAGTGAATCCCATGGCACGGTGATTTAGTAAACTCCAACTCCCACAATGCAACGGTACAACGCATAGTAGTTTGCGCCGCGGTGTGAAAGAGATGTCAATCGCTAGCTTAGCCACCCGCGGGACATTGAATGACTTTGTGAAGAACGGAGAAGTGTCCCATTTCTTGACAGGTCCGGATTGGTTTTGGAGCTCATGGAGGCCCTCATACCTGTCATAAACAAACTGCAAGATGTTTTTAACACAGTGGGCGCTGACATCATTCAGCTGCCGCAAATAGTTGTTGTGGGGACTCAGGTGAGAAACTGCACTTTGTTTTGGAGCCTAGCAAGTTAGTTAGCATGATACCTAGTTGTTAAAACTTCAGTCTTGAGTTCATGGCGTTTATTTCTCATCCATTGTCACTATTTATGTTTGCGATGTGTGTGTGTTAACTTACCTTAAAATAACACAAGCAAAAATATGTTTTCTTTAACACTTGAAACATCGTCACAGTACACATCGCTGTTGTTAATGTAATTACTTATTGTTCTGTTTATCGTAATAAATCCTAAAATAATTGTCGTAACGTGTAGTATATTGTTTCCTACTGAGCTTACGCTAAGCCTCTTTCCAGGCTAATGGAAAATATGTCGCAGCAATATCCTCCAGCGCATGTGTGTCTACTTTAGGTAGAAGATAAATAACTTATATTATACAATATAATGATAGTTTTCATACAGCAGCTACATTACATTTAGTTAATACCAATCAGCATGTATTCCAAAAATTGCACTTCCCATAGCACAAAACATGACCCATTATCATTAAACGCCTCTCTTCATCTAAAAAGCCGACACAGTCGAGCCTAATTGGTTTAAAGTAGTGATAGGTTTTGCCAAACGTGTTTACTTTCTGTGACCCGTTAATAGGATGTGGCAGTCTCAGCTGTTTTGGCAAGCATCAACGGGTGTTATTAGAGTGCAACAAACCAAGTCTAGGAGATGTTTTTTGTTCGTTGTTTTGTTGCTTGTTTATCCTTGCTACTGAGCTTCAAAGACGAGTAAGTAGGTATCTTATACCTACTGTAGTTTTATGAAGTACAAGTTGTACACGTACAAATAACCTTAACTCGGTGAACGTAACATCACGTTGCATTTATCCTGACTTCAACTGTAAAAAAACACCCTGCGACTTTGTCATATTTTAGTGTAATATATTTGTTTTTCTTTCTAGAGCAGCGGCAAGAGTTCTGTTTTAGAGAGCCTAGTCGGCAGGGATGTGCTACCGCGAGGCACAGGCATTGTGACCCGTCGGCCGCTAATCTTCCAGCTCGTCCACATCGATTCCGAAGACCGCCGGAAAACCAATGAGGAGAACGGTACCATTGGCGTATTCATTTTTATTTATTATTGTATCTTATCCCTGCCTCCTGTTGCACCTTCCCCTTTATTTCACTTAAACGGGCTAAACCAGGCCATCAAGCAGTTATCTATTTTTGACATATTACATTCTCAAGACTGTCGCAACTAAGCTTTAAATCAGTGATTTTATATATATAATTTTTTTTTAATAACTCCTAGTTACTGGGAAACGTTTAAACAATGTGAAATAAGGTTTCTTATTAAGACCCCTGTGTAATTCCCCCCTCATTCATAAGTAGACGAGCACCGGGCTAACCCATTTGTTGTCTCTCTCTTAAACTACAGAATTCAAGAAAAATGGGCGCTTTTACAGAGGTCTCCCTTTTATTGTTATTTGCCCTACCGTGTTTGTATACAGTATAAGGTTGCCTCCCCGTTTCCGCCCCTTTCTTTGGAGTAGCCTGTGATCAACCGCACACCCACGCGGCTTCACTCAGTTCAGATTGATTGAAAAAAAAAATATATTTTTTTTTTCCATCATTCTCTGAACATACCCAAACACCAAAAACAGCTGCAATGTCCTGAACCGCCAGCTTCACCTGAGATGACTAACAGGCTTCGTTTTCATCCTAGTTTTGTTGTGCAACTTTGATTGCCTTGCTTCTTTGTGCTTGAAGGGTTTTACTGCGCTTCTGTCATCAGCTATGAAAGCAATTTTTTTCTCCCTGCTCTTATTATTATTTTTTTCCCCCTCAGCTTTTCGCTGTGAAGTTTTTATATCCCATTGTAGCCACCAGAAAATTCCTCTTGTGAGAAGTTAAACATGTGTTGGTCACATCATTGACTGATGCCCATAATTTGAATCTCTGCAGGAATCGACGGTGAGGAATGGGGCAAATTCTTGCACACCAAAAACAAGGTAAAGTTGAAAGGAATCATGTCATACAAATGCACTCAAGTCCTGAGCACCTTTTAGATAGTTGACATTTTCTCTGTTTCTCTTTTTGTTTTGGTTTGTTTTTAGATCTACACTAATTTTGAAGAGATCCGTCAAGAAATTGAAGCAGAAACAGAAAGAATATCAGGCATTAACAAGGTATGGGCATAATAAAAAAAAACAAAGTGTAGCCATATGCTATCTACATGATACACGTAAACGCCATGACGTATGTAGTAAATTCAAATTCTATACAGTATCTCGCATACGGGCATAATAAAAAAAAAAACAAAGTGTAGCCATATGCTTTCTACATGATACACGTAAAGGCCATGACGTATGTAGTAAATTCAAATTATATACAGTATCTCGCATAAGTAAGTACACACCTCATGTTTTTGAAAATATATTTATTCTTTCATGGGGCTAAACTGAAGACATGACACTTTGCTACAGTTTACAGTTGGTGTATAGCTTGTCGTAATGTTTACTGTCCCTTTCAAATCACACATGGTGATTCAGATCGAAATCACTGGCAACAAAAGCGAGTGCACTCTGATGTAAAAATGTCTGCCTCATTTTGTAAATGTCCTTCCCCAGTGTGATGTGACTGCTTGTTGTGAATGGCAAGCAGTTGTGTTATCATGTTTTCATACTGTTCACTGGAAGTTCAATCTGGCACCTCTCATGGCAAAGAAGCGTCTGAGGATCTGAAAAAAAAGCAGTGCTGCAATATAATGGTGACCACTCAAAATCTTGACATTTTTGAAGAGAAAATTGGAAATGTTCACTTGGACTGCGGTCACTTTTGTTACCAGCGTAAATTGACAGTTAACCAAGCTGTACAATGACAGTTTTACATTACAGCAAAGTGTCATTTCTTCATTGTTGTCCCATCATAAGATGTAATAAAATATTTACTTCCCCAGTGTGATGTGACTGCTTGTTGTGAATGGCGAGCAGTTGTGTTATTATGTTCTCATACTGCTCACTGGAAGTCCAGTCTGGCACCTCACATGGGAAAGAAGCGTCTGAGGATCTGAAAAAAAGCATTGCTGCAATATAATGGTGACCTCTCAAAATCTTGACATTTTTAAAGAGAAAATTGGAAATTTTCACTTGGACTGCAGTCACTTTTGTTGCCAGCGTAAATTGACAGTTAGCCAAGCTGTACAATGACAGTTTTACATTATAGCAAAGTGTCATTTCTTTATTGATGTCCCATCATAGATGTAATAAAATATTTACAAGAATGTGAGGGATGTGCTCACCTGTGAGTTAATGGGTAGGTACCCATATACAAGCAGAAAATACCAACAAAAAACTTCTTTTTTCTTGAGTTCCACTTTGTGCATTCGCAGGTGAAGAAATGGATCAGACAAGAAATGTAAATGCAAACTTCATGTTTTACTTTATTTATTTATTTTTGTCCCCAGGGTATCAGTGATGAACCCATTCACCTCAAAGTCTTCTCACCCAATGTTGTCAACCTCACACTTGTGGACCTTCCTGGCATCACCAAAGTGAGATATGTCCAAAGATAATTGTGATCACATTCGCCCTCAAAGTGGCCCGTGAAGTCGATCCTGATGGTGAATGCTTTTGCTTTTTGCATTTGCTTGGAACTAATGCATGTCCTAAATTATGTCCTCCGTGTTGCGTCCAGGAAGAAGGACACTAGCCGTGGTCACCAAGTTGGATCTGATGGATGCCGGAACGGACGCCCTGGATATCCTGACGGGCCGAGTCATTCCTGTCAAACTTGGCATTATTGGAGTTGTCAACAGGTGACGGCGCCTGTGTCCAGTTGCACACATCAGTCATGTGGTGTGCCAACTGTGGGTTTTCATTTGACTTTTTTTAATTTTGATTTTTGCCAGGAGTCAGCTGGATATCAATCAGAAGAAATCAGTGGCAGATGCGATCCGTGATGAGTACGCTTTTCTCCAAAAGAAGTACCCCTCCCTTGCAAACAGAAGTGGAACTAAATATCTGGCCAGGACACTGAATAGGTAAGAAATGAAGCTCCTATTTTTAAAAGAGCAGTGGATACACCTGCACGTTTTCATGAAAACAAAAAATAATCATATTTAATCATTATTTGTCATAATGGTTATAAGCTACAGTTTTGGAGTATTTGCAAAGTGTTTCCAAAAACAGAAGTTATTAAAAAAATGTGGATTATAATTTAACATATGAATATGTAAAAATCACAAACGTGTTCTTGAGCCTCAGGTTATATGAAATTGCATGAATACTAAATTGTGACAAAATGCGCAACAGCTAAGTGTAGTCATGTAGTAAAATGTAAATTTCACGTGAGATCGACTCATCTGATCTTCTTGGGTGTAGATTGCTCAT